GTTTATATTATTTAGTTATACTTTTATCAAATTAAGAATATGAATCTTTATACTTTTTTGGTAGTTACCTGCTGGTAGTAATTTTTTTGTTACAGTTTATATTCAGTATTATTTTGCATTATTTTCAAGTATACAGCGCAGTGGTCACAATCATACACTTCACAAAGTGCTCCTCCCGATATCCTCACCTACAGTACACGAGGGTACCCTTTTCGCCACATCCTCGCCAACACTTGTGTTGTTTGTTGACTTATTAATGATAGGCATTCTGACAGGTGTGAGGTGATATGTCATTGTGGTTTTAATTTGCATTTCTCTGATGATTAGTGATATTGAACATCTTTTCATATGTGTATTGGTCATCTGTATATCCTCTTTGGAGAAGTGTCTGTTCAGGTCCTCTGCCTACTTTTTTTAAATTGGATTGTGTTTTTTTGTTGTTGTTGTATGAATTCTTTATAAACTTTGGATATTAACCCCTTATCAGACATGTCATTGGCAAATATCTTCTTCTGTTCAGTAGGTTGTCTTTTCATTTTGTTGATGATTTCCTTTGCTATGCAAAACTTTTAAAAAATATTTTTTATTGATTTTAGAGAGAGGAAGGGAGAGGAGAAAGAGAAACATTGATAGGCTGCCTCCTGCACGGCCCCTAGTGGTGACTGAGCCTACAACCCAGGCATGTACACCAGGTGCATGAAATGATGCTCAACCAACTGAGCCACACCAGCAATGCAAAAACTTTTTAGTTTGATGTAGTCCCATTTAGTTTGTTTCATTTTTCCCTTGTCCAAAGACTGTAGTAATTTGGTTAATACAGCAAAATTAATCATAGCTTTCTTTAATAATGTACATTAGATTTTATTTTATGTTTATTATAGTAAATCTGACTGAATTTAATAAGTTTCTATCTCCCTTGTCTGTCTTACAACCTAAAAATACATTGAGTAAACTTTTCTTCTCTTCACAGACATGATTATTAAAAAGCTTTACTAATTCTTTTGACAGGTTGAAATATTTGCTTTTTTGTTTTTCAGTATTCAAATATTACTTTTTTCAGCTTTGTTTTTTGAGACCACAATTTGAAAGCATCTATAAACACACTGTTTTTATAATACCAGAAAGGTGGCTACTTTTTTGTGTTATTATTTTTTAAACACTTTCAAGAGTCAGCTTACTAATTAATTAAAGATAAAACTAAAACAGTTAATGCTTAAATAATCCTGACTTTAGTTCTGTTTAGTATGAAGTCTATCCTGTTAGGTTACCATTAAACTTTTTTTAATAGAAAAGACTTTCTAAGGTCAAAAGTTTAAAGTTAAATTATCTTGAACAGCAACAGACTAGTTCTTATGTAATGTAAACATAAATATATAGGAGATAAATATACATTGTACCTTCACAGGGACCTGTTTTGCTATCTTAGACCTTTAATACATGAAAGGAAAAAATTAGACAGGAAAAAAATTTGATAATCATGAGTGAAGTGGAATTTCCACATAGTATTTGAAAATGGGGGGGAAAGTTATAGACTTTCCATTCATTTTGTTAATACAATATATTTATATAATTTTGCACCTCTTATTGTTTGCTAGTAAAAATAATATTTACCATATTTTTAATGTTCCTTAAAAAACAAATATTTAGTTGCAGAGTTACTCTACAAAGTTGTAAATTAGTTCAGTAAATTTTTCATTTAAAAAGGTTATGTAGCACTAGCTGCATATAAAATATAAAAAAATATATTTTAAAAAAGGTTATGTAATTGCCAGCTTCTGACCAATAGCTATTTCCATTCTGTTTATACATTAACCCTATAGTTCTAGACAGTGTGTTTGTATATACAGTGGGGCCTTGACTTACGAGTGTCCCGACTAACGAGTTTTTCGAGATACGAGCCGTCTCGGCCGATTTTTTGCTTTGAGTTGCGAGCTAAAATTCGGGTTACGAGCCAGCTTCAGATACCCCACCGCTAGTTGGCGCAGCGAACGTCACAGTGAACGCCACAACATCAGCCCAGCATCATGTGTCTCACTCGTTCACTTTAAGATCTGACATACAAGTAATTTGAGTTACGAGCTCCATCACGGAACGAATTAAACTCGTAAGTCACAGCCCCACTGTATGTGTATTCACAATTTCTTTAAACTCTCAGACTTTGCTGAAGATGTTATTTGCCATTTAAATACTTAATAAGGATAGGATATTTAATAAGGATAGGATACTTACTTGTTAGTATCAGTGAGTGATACAATCTAAGAAAAAACTAAAAAGCTAAATGATAATGCAGTAATAAGCAACCAAAAAACTCAATGCCTTGCCCTGGCTGGTTTGGCTCAGTGGATTGAGCATCGGCCTGAGGACTGAAGATTCCTGAGTTCGATTCCAGCCAAGAGCACATGCCCAGGTTGCGGGCTCAGTTCCCAGTGGGGGGTGTGCAGGAGGCAGCCGATAGGTGATTCTCTTTCATCATTGATGTTTCTACCTCCCTCTCCCTTCCTCTCTGAAATCAATAAAAAATATTTTTTTTAAAACCCTCAGTGCCTTAAAACAACAAAGTTTTACTCCTCCCTCACTTTATGTTATTGGCTGTGTTATGGAATCACTTCCACTCTGGGATCCAGGCTGAAGAAACTGCCCTCATCTGGGATATTGCCATTTTATAGTGGAGGAAAAAGGATATGGTCCAACCATGTGAGGCTCTTTAAACTTTTGCTTGGAACTGGCATATTACTTCAATTCACATTTCATTATTCACACAGTTATGTGGCTAATTCTGATGTGAGCGAAGTGAGAATTACAGCCTTTCCACTAGGGAAAGAGGAGCAGTGAATGTTTTCATAACAGTTTCCCTCATTACATTCTTGTAAAGATAAAATGAACTATCTACAATAATAAAAGCATAATATGCTAATTAGACTGGACAGCCAAACGACCTTCCAGATGTCCTTCCAGACGAAGCCATGGCAGCAGGGGCCAAGGCAGAGGCGGTTAGGGACGGTTAGGCAGGCAGGTGAGTGGTTAGGAGTGATCAGGCAAGCAGGCAAGCGGTTAGGAACCAGCAGTCCTGGATTGCGAGAGGGTGCAGGCCAGGCTAAGAAACACACACACACCTCGAGCATGAATTTCGTGCACCAGGCCTCTAGTCTATAATAATAAAAGCGTAATATGCTAATTAAACCAGACATCCTTCCAGACAAAGCCGGGGGCTGTGAGGGCCAAGGGGGCACTGCGGCAGGGGCCAAGCCCTTTGCACAAATTTTGTGCATCGAGCCTCTAGTTAAATAAAAGTATCTAAGGAGAAGAAACTTAAACTTTTCCTAAAGTATAGTGGAATATCTCATTAATTTAGAAGTTGATGACTTATACAAGGCATATATAAGCTTACCTTGGCAGTATAAATGTTGTAAGGGTTTACTAAAACAGCAAATAATGTAATTTCATTAACCAATGTAACCCCAATAAATTAAATTTTTAGAAAATAGTGTATCTATGTCAAAGTGCTTAATTTTATGGAGAACAGATTTTGAGCACTTAACAGGTATTTACTTACATACACCAGTATCCGAGAAAGTATTCTGGTAGAAAACTAGTCCTTAGGTGTCAATAAGGAGGAATGTTTCTGGAGTTATACTATATCCCGCTTCTTGGATATTTAATGTACATCAGAATATGAAATTCTTGAAGAAATCCTTTTGTTCATTTAGTTTTGCTTAGCCCAGTATTTATTTCCCTGATTTATTTGACTTTGGAACCTATTTGCTAAGCAATACCTAATAAATTTTCTTAAGGAAATCCTGGCAGGAGGAAGTTGGTAAGCTGATTATAATTTATTCATTAGATCTAGCTCTTCAGTGCTTGTCAACCTCTTTGTTAATTTTAGTAATGGTTTGTTAGTTTTCGTAATAGAAATCAAGTGCATTTTCTTTTTTAATCTCAGGGTATCCCACCCAGTTCAGGGAAATTCCATGTAGAATTATTCTGAATTGGATGCAGTCTGTGTTCAGGTACTCTGTTGGTATGTATTCTCTGACTCCTGGATCTGGATCCTTAAAGGAGCCCCAGTACCACCCAGAGACACTCATTACCTCAGAAGTCTTATAATGGCATAACATAGCTGACATTTTTAAGATTAGAATTGTGGGATAAGCATATTTTTAGGTTGAAGTTTTTTAAAAAATATTAAGACAAAAACATACCCAAGTTCATGTTTTAAAACTTTTTTATTCCTGTAATAAGAAAACAAAGATGACAAATTAAAACCTCATCTTAGACCAGTGGTTCCCAGCGTGGGGCACATGCCCCACAGGGGGGCAATTTGATTTTTAAGGGGGGCAATTTGAGAATGAGTTATTAACAGTGAATTTTTGCATTTGTTATGGTTCTAGAGGCCTAAAATACAGTATATAAATATATATTTTGACATATTTATGCATTTCAGTTCTCTATTATGTTTTGAAACTTTATTTGCTATTTTTCATATCACTTCATATTATTATTATTTTTTTAAACAATTTCTTAGTGTTTCTTCCTCAGTACTTCAACTGTCCTTTCGTTCTTTTGTTTTTCCCTTTCATGAATGCCATGTTCTTTGGAAGCTTGTTTAGACGAAATTAATGACCTTTTAGGCTTCCTCCATGTGAATAGGAGTTCACTTTTTGAATAATAGGAATTATATGTCACAAGGAGGGGGGGGGGGCATCAGGATTTTAAAGATGCTTAGGTGGGGCATGGCCAAAAAAGGTTGGGAACCACTGTCTTAGACATTAACCCATTCTTATACAATCTTGCAAGAGTCATTAAAAATTAATATGGACTTTTCTATTTTTCTTTTTGGTGTTTTTTTTTTTTCTCTGTTAGGGTAAAAGTAAAGTTTAAAATAAAGGAAGTCAATTTAGAGGTTAACAAAGACAACTTCTAGAACTAGAAAATTGAGGGTTGATTTTAGATAAGAAATGTGTTGGTGGTTCTTTTTATGGAATGCTTATGTATACCCACAGCTCAGCCAGCAGGAGTGCCAGAAATCTTAAAGAAAAGTTTGCATAGCTGTTCAGTGAAAGGAGAGGAAGAAGTATTTTTAATTGGCAAGAACTTTCTGAAAGGAACTAAAGTGATTTTCCAAGAAAATGTTTCTGGTAAGTAGACATAATACTACTGATATAGAGATTGTTGCATGTTTCACTTTGTTATAAAGCTATAGTCATAGCTACAAAGTAAAAAAAAAAAAAAAAAAAAAAAAATTTTAGTAAATCACTGTTTTTGTTTCAATCAGATGAAAACTCTTGGAAGTCAGAAGCTGAAATCGACATGGAATTATTTCATCAGGTATAATTTTAAGACTTAAAATTTTTTTTTTTATTATTGATTTCAGAGAGGATGGAGGGGAGAGAGAGATAGAAGCTTTAACAATGAGAGAGAATCATCCATTGGCTGCCTCCTACATGCCCTACACTGGGGACTGAGACCACAACCCGGGCATGTGCCCCGTCCAGGAATTGAACCGTGACCTCCTGGTTCACGGTTGGATGCTCTACCACTTAGTGACCACTCCTCCGGGGAGCCTGCAGCCAGGAATCTTGGTTCAGAGGTCGTTGCTCAACCACTGAGCCACGCCCCCTGGACTAATTTAAGACTTTTTATAGTTTGATTGTTTACTCTCTGAGAAATTCGATTTTGTTCCAAAATTTCCTGAATCAAGAGATTAATTTTTTTCTTTATATGGGATTGATAGAAATCATTTAAAGTTTCTTGAGTTTCTTTAACTGAAATACAACTATGCCACTGATGCTAGAAGTGACAATTCTCTATTTTAAAAAAGTTTAAAAGCATTAGCAAATTGCATTGCTAATAAATGAAACATTTCTTTCTTAATATTTATTTGTTCTGGGGATTTGGATTATCTTAACCTACTATTAGTTAAATCAAAGAAAATTTTTTTATTGAGTATCTATGTTCCAAGTGTTTTTATGTTTGTTAGTTACCTTTTTGCATTCAGAAGAACAATTTGTTACACCTGTATTAAAGAGTGTGTATTTGTAGGCACTCACTATGTATTTTTAGATAATAAGAAAAAAGAGCTTGAAAACAAGGAGAGAGAAATAACTTAATTAATATGTAGAGCAAATAGGAGCAAACTCAGGTATTGAGACAACAGAAGAGAACAAATTTATATGCAAATCAGATAGAAGACTAGAAAAATGGTAGTATGTTTAGGTATAGATCATAGAGAACAGAGAAGCAGGAACATACTAATGTGTAAAATACTCAAAGCCTAAAATATAGCATCAAATGCTGATAAAAATAGAAAAGAGCACATGAAAGCTAGCAGAGAGCTAGAAGAGGCAAAAAATTGAAACTATATCCAATTTATCAAAAAATATTAAGACGAAAAAGTTTGTAATTCTTTTGGGTTTTAAGAAAAATCTTAGACACAAATTAAATGTTCTGAAATCGAAGCCTTAACCTTGGCCTTGTCACATGTTCTTTTCAACTGAGTCAACCAACTATAGTCTAAGTAAAAAATGTCATCAAATTCACTTCACCGTCAGCTGTCATCATTTGCCTCCTGCATATCTTGTCCTCTGTACAAAAGCATAATCACCATCCCTTGATGTTCCTTCCCATTACTATATTGTACCAACAAAGAAGAGAATACGTCCAATATTGTTCACAGTATCTTCCAAGAAGATGTGGCAACCTTGAGTAACTGCTGGTGAAGCATTTATGAACTTTCCTTTTCTTATAAGGATGTTTCTGCCACTATTCTGACAAAAAAATAACTTTGATTTCCAGATTAGGGTAGACTGAACCCTACTTGGTTAAATGAGGGTAAATTTGACTTAATTTGGGTAAACTGAAGCCTATTTGGCTAAGTGATTAGGAAGCAGTGAACCGCTTTGTAAAGTACACCTCAATTAAGGTTGTACAGAACATATGGTAACTGATACTGTGCTTGGTGGGCATAGTTTTTTCTCAAAATGTACTCATTCTTTTATTCAACAAATATATTTGTGTGTTTTTTGTATAAGATGCTTAACAGGATAAATAGAATTAAGACCAAAACATCCTATGTTCTCATGGACCTTCTTGAGGGTGAGGGAGAAAAGAAAAAAAGCACATAATCACAGTAATTTCAGGTAGTGATAAATGCTAATTTAGAAAGAAACAGGATTATGTGATCAGGACTGAGCGGGGTGCCACTTTTAAAAGGATGGTCAGAGATGGCTTCTCTGAGGAGATAACATTTGAATAATACCTAAAAATGGGTAAGAAACTAGCCATTTTAAGAGGTGAAGGAAGAATATTCTAGTGGGAGAGAACAGCAGGTTGTAAAGGCTCTGAGCTAAAAGTGGATTTAGTGTGTTAAAAGAATGGACTGAGGTCAGTATGCCTAGAGCAGTGGTCGGCAAACTGCGGCTCGCAAGGCACATGCGGCTCTTTGGCCCCTTGAGTGTGGCTCTTCCACAAAATACCGACTTCTGCGAATGGGCCACAAAGTTTCAATCGCACTGTACGTGCGCGCCCGCACGTGGTATTTTGTGGAAGAGCCACACTCAAGGGGCCAAAGAGCCGCATGTGGCTCGCGAGCCGCGGTTTGCCGACCACTGGCCTAAAGTATAAATGATCTGGGGAAAATGGGGATAAGAGAAAGTTGTCAGGGCAAGAACCTTGTTAGTCATTATAAAACATTTGGGTTTTATCTTAAAAATAGTTTTAAGATTAATATCCTGGCCCTAACGGGGTTGGCTCAGTGGATAGAGCATCGGCCTGTGGATTGAAGGGTCCCAGGTTGGATTCCAGTCAAGGGCATGTACCTTGGTTGCGGACACATACCCAGTAGGGAGTGTGCAGGAGACAGCTAATTGATGTTTCTCTCTCATCGATATTTCTAACTCTCTATCCCTCTTCCTTCCTCTCTGTCAAAAAAAAAAAAAAATCAATAAAATACATTTTTTTAAAAAGATTAATATCCTGATGTCTATGAACCTGAGCTTTAAAATAATTTTTCTAGTCAGACTTTTGACCTTTATAGCTTATAGGAAATATACTTAATTATAATTTTCATTTCAAATTTTTTATTTAAATATTGCTTCTTTTCTGACTCTTATAATTTTCTTTCAATTAGAATCATCTTATTGTAAAGGTTCCCCCATATCATGACCAACATATAACTTTGCCAGTATCAGTGGGAATATATGTAGTGACCAATGCTGGAAGATCTCATGATGTTCAACCATTCACTTACACTCCAGACCCAGGTATGTCAAAATAAAAAAGTCTGAACTAAAATGAATGATTAATTTCTGGTACTTTGGAAGAATATGAAGACCAGCCAACCAAAATGAAAAAGTGGTAGCCTGGCTGGTGTGGCTCAGTGGTTGAGTGTCCACCTATGAACCAGGAGTCACGGTTGGATTCCCGGTTAGGGCACATACCCTATTTGTGGGGCTGGATCCCCAGTAGGAAGTGTGTAGGAGACAATCAATCAATGATTCTCTCTCATCATTGATGTTTCTATCTCTCTCTCCCTCTTCCTTTCTCTCTGAAATAAAAAAAAAAATTTTTTTTTTTTAAAAGAGCATGGCTTTTGAAAAAAAGAAAAGAAAAGCTAGGAATGCTCTGAAGAGTTATCATACAGCTTACTCTTTAGTAAGAATTAACATTCATTCAGTTTCTCTAGTGTGCAGAAAAATGAAAGTGACAACTTTGGGAAACTGCTAATAATTTAGTCTAGCTGGCTTACAGATTGCCTTTTGGGAAAGAGAAGAGATATGCTTGTCATGATAAGTGATAAGAATCACAAATAGAGTTATATGCCTATAACATTTTCTAATCTGTATAATAAAAAATATCAAAGACTGCTGGTGAATAAATATTTTAAACATAATTTTAAGCATTTAGGCAAAATAGATGCTTTAGGAACCAGAGCAGTAAGAGCAATTGAAATGTTAAAAATTTAGAAGATCTGCCCTGGCTGGGTAGCTCAGTTGGGGTTAGAGCATTAATCTTTTTTTTTTTTTCTTAATAGCAGCAGCTGGTGCTTTGAATGTAAATGTGAAGAAGGAAATATCTAGTCCAGCAAGACCTTGCTCTTTTGAAGAGGCCATGAAAGGTACTAAGTTGATTCTCATATATTTTCCCTAACAAACTTTACTATTTTGTTTTCTCTTATGTACTTGGAACACTTAGCAGGGTCTCATCTATACTGTAAAATAAATATTTGTTTTTTACTGAATGCAGAGATTTGTTTCCCAACTTGATATTTTCCTTCATTCACCATGTAAACTTTTTTTGTTAACCTATTAGAGTGGAGTTTTTTGTTTTTTTCTTTGTTTTCCATTCCCCAATATTAAAAATCTTAAAAGTCTATGTAAAGTACAATAATGTATGTAAAAAAATTTCTACTAATAAGATTAGTACTTGACATTGAGACTGAAGAGACCAAAATATGAACTATCAACATTTGAAAAAGTTGCTTTAGGCTCTTTCTTCTGATATTTTTATTTACTCCTTTGCCAGTCCCAAGAGATAACAAAGATATATCTTCAGGATGTTATGTGATAGATTCTTTTTTCAGATTTCTAATACAACTATGATACTTAGTGATACTTTTGTGCCATTATAAATGAAGATGTCGCCGAAACCGGTTTGGCTCAGTGGATAGAGCGTCAGCCTGCGGACTGAAAGGTCCCAGGTTCGATTCTGGTCAAGGGCATGTACCTTGGTTGCGGGCACATCCCCAGTAGGAGATGTGCAGGAGGCAGCTGATCGATGTTTCTCTCTCATCGATGTTTCTAACTCTCTATCTCTCTCCCTTCCTCTCTGTAAAAAATCAATAAAATATATTTTTTTAAAAATAAAATAAATAAATGAAGATGTCAATTACATAATGGCCATTGCTTTGTTCCTATAATCCTAGCTTTTATTTATATCTTTCTGCCATGAAATTCATGAGTTAAATAAAATTAAATTATAAAATTAAAAATATTTAGCCCTGACTGGTTTGGCTCAGTGGATAGAGCATTGGCCTGCATACTAAAGGGTCCCAGGTTCAATTCCAGTCAAGGGCATGTACCTTGGTTGCAGGCACATCCCCAGTAGGGGCTGTGCAGGAGGCAGCTGATCGATGTTTCTCTCTCATCGATGTTTCTAACTCTCTATCTCTCTCCCTTCCTCTCTGTAAAAAAGCAATAAAATATATTTTAAAAAAATATTTACATTTAAAAGGGAATAATATGCTTAATAAATTTTATCAAATACAGTAGCTTTTTTTTCTATTGTCAGTAGTAAAATTTAGCTTTCATGTATATAATGTGTTGAGTATAGCTTGCCATTATAATTTCTGATCACAAACACTTTCCCGGAGTAGATTAGTGAGAAATTTTGCACTGATGAGTAAACTGCCAAGATTATGTGATTAAAATACAAGAAAATTTATAAATCTGTGCTATATATAACCATAGCTAATGCACATTGGACATATATTAAGTGCTGGGCAATATGCCACACTCTTTATTGGCATTATCTCATTTAATCTTCCAAACTCTATGAGGTAGGTAATTTATTATTCTCATTCCATAGATGAGGAAAACAAGGTTTCAGGGAGGTTAAATAATTTGCCCAAGGTCGCTTAGCTAGGATTAAAAAAGATAGGTTAAGCTTCAGTATAAAAGTAACACCTCTAAGCAAAAATAATTCAAACCATGTTATTAGATAAATAATACCATAATTAATTAATCACTAAAGAAAGTCTTGCCCTAGCTGGTTTGGCTCAGTGGATAGAATATTGGCCTGCAGACTGAAGGGTCCTGGGTTCAATTCCAGTCAAGCGGCACATGCCTGGATTGTGGGCTGGATCACCAGTAGGGGGCATGTAGGAGGCAGCCGATCAATGATTCTCTCTCATCATTGATGTTTCTATCTCTCTCCCTCTCTCTTCTTCTTTGAAATCAATAAAAATATATTTAAAAAAAGAAAGTCTTGAACATTTGTGATCTATCCTTTGCCAACTTTGTGCTCTTCTACAAAAATTCCTTGATGCTTCCTTTCATGGAATATCAGGCAGATAGAACAGTAACCTAATCCAATGTGAAATTTATCGTACAAGATTATGAATTGAAGGTTGAAAGGTTTTGAAAGCTCCACTTAATTTTTAGTAACAAAATTATTTAGTCAATTGATCCAAATCTTACAAGCCTAAAAAAGGATGCAAACATACATGCACATATTACTCTTTTTCAAAATTCAGACCTCCTTATTTTGACAATTTTATCAACTTAAATCATGATAAAAATAATTTTATGAAGATATAAAATTAAATTGAATACTCAGCTAACTTTGTTTAAAATTTTCATTTGTTTTTATAAATATGGTATCATTAATTAGGAAGTACTGATCATTTTAAAAGACAATAGCTTTTAGAACCAATAATTTTCCTTGACAAATGGCTTATTTTTATTCCATGAAATCACAGCTTTAGTATAATGCGAAGGTACCATTTCGGAGATTTAATTAAGTATACTTTAATGATGAAAACTGAGCAACATAAATGACTTTTAAATTTGTGTTATGGCATTAATCCTCCAAGAAACAGTCTGATAAATAACCATTAATTACAATAAGATTTAAAACTTGATGCCCAATATGATGTTATGGTCATATATTGAAAGCTTTTGCTCTGAAGTAAGTTTCTAATTCCTTGGAGAGAGTCTGGAAGAGTGGGGAGTAAGGATAGCAACTAGTGCCAAAGCATTTGATTCATTTTTCGTTTTATCCAACTGTGTATATATCCTTAACACAAAGTAATGCGTATTAAATAAGATAAAGTATACCGTGTAAACTATTATTAACAGTTTTTTGGGAATATTTCCACAAAGTTTTCTATATCTATATAGATGTGAGTGTAAATGTTAGCTAAATCGCTCAAAGACTCAGTGATGGAGGTTTAAGACCCAGGGATAAAGTGTTGATGTACATTCTCTCAGTTTCAGCTTTGTAAGGAGTGGTTAATTGGATTAGTGTGAAAAATAGTTGAGAGCATATACTTTTCTCTACTGGTTGGATAGGGAAAGGTTCAGGAGCTTTGAGGAGCTATAGAGATAATCTAGTTCAATCACATTTTACAGGTGATAAACCAAGTCCTAAAGAAGCTGTGATTTACTCAAGGTCATACAGCTAGTAACTGACAGAGATTACAACTTAGGTTGCCCTCAAAATTCTATATTTTTTCACTCTATTATTCCCTACCCTATAAATCTTGTTGTTGTTATTGTTAAACCTTACCTGAGTATATTTTTCCATTGATTTTTAGAGAAAGGGGAAGGGAGGGGGAGAGACAGAGAAACATCTGTGTGAGAGACACATCCATTGATTGTCTCCCACACATGCCCCCACCGGGGCTAGGGATCAAGTCTGCAACCGAGGTTTATGCTCTTGACCAGAATCGAACCCTTCAGTCCACAGGCTGACACACTATCTACTGAGCCAAACTGGCTAGGGCACTCCCCTTAAATCTTTATTTTAACCATACATATTTGTACTTGACCTTATCATTTTATGCTGCTTACTGATAACAAACTTTTACTAAGGATTGTTCTAAGTTTCAAAAGTTGTTATTATTTGACATCAATAGAAGAGAGCACTTTAAAAGTTGTTTGGCATAATGTGTCAATACCAATATTCCTTATAAATTCAAATTGCTATTGGGATGGATAAATATGTCTATCTTATTTACCTTCTGCATTTTTTGAATTGGCTTAAAAGTTTTCCCCCAACCCCTAGGTCGTTTGTATTTTACATGTTTGTATTTTTTCTCTCTCTCACTAAAATGTAATTTTTCACTAGTAGGGCTTTGTCCATCTTATTCATCATCACTGACCCCCAAACCTTGAACAGCACCTAGAACTTGGTAAAGGGCTCAATAAATACCTAGTGAAAAAGAAGTAAGAAAAGAGCGTGACATCTCTCAAGCCATTTAATATTATTTACAGGTCCATTAAGATACAGTTGTGGGTTCTGGGACAAGAAAATATGTACTTACTTTTCCCTTTTCCTCCCTCCTAAATCTACTAAATACCTTAGAAATAATTGAACAATCATAAAAGGACTTTAAAATATAGAGAGAAGAAAGACTGGCTAGGGACCTCACATTTTGAAGAATGACATCAAGTCCTGGGTTCTCTTTTTATCTCCCATTTATCTGGATTGGGCACTAGAGAGGTCTGCTACTCAGAACTGGCAATGGGCATAGGCAAAAAATAAGTCAGTAAATAAGCATGAAAAGCCTGCTCTCTTTGGCCAGAAGACCAGGAAAGGGAAAGCCCAGCAAAGACTTTTGTTGGGATGACTCCTATTTAGTGACAGCAACTGACCCACCCCCTCCACCTATACCTGCAGTAGCAATACAGAACTTGGGAGGGTCAACCCACCTCATGCTGCATACCTATCAATTAACAGTGGGCCTAGTCTGCCAGGAGGTCAGTCTAACTGCAGTGATGGCAATGGCAGAACCAGGGGGACAACCCCACCACCACCAGGCAGCAGCACATGCCCCTCCACCCGCATTGGTGGTGCCAGCAGGCCCTGTGTCTCCCCTGTTCTTCCCCTGACAGCAGACAGAGACCCAGACCTAGCAGCTCCTAGCCCTCCGCCCAAGAGCAGAGAAAGATCCAGGCCAAGTGTATCCCAACCCTCCACCCAGTGACAGAAGGCTCTATTCGGTGGCAGAAGGTGAACAGACCCAAACCTCGTCCTAGTGACATGAGCTACCCAGACCCTGCAGTCTTGACCTTCTACCCAGTGGCAGAAGGCAACCTACCTACGTGCTTCCCCAGCACCAGCAGAGATAGAACAGAAAGCCCATTAGTACCAGGAGGCTAGAACATATACCAGAAGAAATGCTTTTCCTCTTGCAGGTTAAGCATCCCTCTTCCCCACCTAGTAACACCAGACAGCCCAGAGAAGCACTTTCCACGCTTGCAGGCAGCACCAACAGGATTCCAGCTGGAATTCATGCAGAGCTAGAACAGAATACTGACCAGAATAGGACTCAGAAAACGAAATTGTCAATGGTCATAGAAAGACTTGTATCTTTTGTGTGGGCATTTTAAAAAGTGTCCTCTTCTTATTTATCTACACCAGTAGACATACCTGCTTGTCAGTGGTCTCCTTTGGAGAAGTAAAAGACTCTTGCTCAACCTATTCCACCTATTCTCACTTTCCAGAAGGGAAATAAAACTAAAATGATAAGGATTTTTCTCTAAATAAATTTTGGGGGAAATTATGTATAGATCTGTTAAGCAGTAACTGTAGGTGGATGCATTTATTTGTCAATGGATATAAGCAATTTCTAATTGAACTATAATATAAACTTGTCTTTAGATATTGGAAATTTTTAGACCAAAAATACTATTAATGACAATATGCAACACACTGCATTGTAAAATTAACCAAACAATGAACTAAATTGACTATGATAAAGGTAAAGAAAGATTAATTCATCCATTTCTTCATTCATTCAACAAATATTCATTGATTGCTTACTATACATCAGGCAACAAGAACAAAATCTCTGCCTTCATGGAGCTCACATTGTAATAGAATTCAAAAGGAAGAATAGCAGTTGAATGTTATTCAAGACAACACTAATAGTCTTTCAAATTGTCCTATGAGATGGGCCACAAATACTATTAAATGCCTGACATTTTCTCTCAGTAAAAATTAGATTTTGAGTTTAATTGTAGAAGTATTGGTAGAATCTAGGTGAAAATAGGTCCAGGGAACGCAAGAATAAATGATACATTCCTCAGAATAATAAAGCGTAGAATATCCAAAGTTAAATTTAAGAGCACTTTCCCCTTCCTCAGTATAATCAGTTTCCACAGGAATTATTTCTAGCCATTGGCTATGAGACAAGTTGAAGTAAGATCAGAAAGTTTCAAATATTTCTAAATCAGAATATTTACAAAGGTAGCAATCTTACTCATATATCATTTAAAATTCTTCTTTGTAGCCAAGATTTCTTCTTAATATCAAATTAAGAAATTTAACAGCTATGCATTCTGGGGAATCTATATTTCTCTCCACAGGGTTTCATAGTAGTGGTAATCTTTTAGATCAGAATTTGGATATGTGTTCAATTTAGAAGACTGTCATTAGTGATGTCAGTAGGCGTCACTAAGTCCACCAATGGCTGACTCACGTAGACAAAAGGAAGGAAGGAAGGAAGGAAGGAAGGAAGGAAGGAAGGAAGGAAGGAAGGAAGGAAGGAAGGATGGATCAAGGGGGAAAAGTAGATATAATGAAGTGATAAAATGTACCTCATCTGCTATATATTGCTTCTCAGTGTAAATCTCTATTGAAAATGGGAATAAAAAGAAGTGAAAAATACTTGCTGGTTTTGTTTTGGAAATTTAATTGGTAAACTAAAATAGTCCTTAAATTTCTAAAAAGAAAAAATTTTAAGTCCTATCTAAAAGAGAAATGTGTTCATGTGTCAACTTGTCAAATTCAAGTTTTCTAAGACATTAAATTTAGAAACGCAAAATTTATTTGGTTACTTGGTGGCCAAGCTTCTCATAAGAAGCTTGAGTTTTGTTGAGCAGAGAAATTTTCAGACAATTCTGTGGCCTTTAAAAAGTTTTGACTTTAGGCCTGGCCGGTGTGTGGTTCAGTGGTTGATCATCCACCCTGAATTAAGAGGTAACTGGTTCGATTCTTGATCAGGGCACGTGCCTGGGTTGCAGGCTATGTTCCCAGTAGTGGGCATGCAGGAGGCAGCTGATGGATGTTTCTCATCAATATTTCTATTCCTCTATCACTCTTCCTTCCTCAAGCCAAAGCTACTTCAAAAAAGGGAGGATACATTTTGATATGCCAATTTTGTATCTCATGCTACATAACATTAAAAAAATGGACTTTTAAATCATGGCTAATAATCATCACACTATAGAATGAAATAGTTGATGACTTTAGTGATTTTAAGCTTTTCTTTCTTTCTTTTTGTGTGTGCAGCTATAAAGACTACTGGATGTAATTTAGATAAGGTAAATATTCTTCCTAATGCTCTGATCACTCCACTCATATCAAGCAGTATGATTAAGAGTGAAGATGTTACTCCAATGGAAGTGACAGCAGAAAAAAGATCTCCTATTTTTAAGGTAAGCCAGCCATATTGACAAGTGTCCCCCATCTTAACCTCAAATATAAAAATTACTTTTTATATTTTATGTGGTTTGATTTCCTTTTCCCATGTTTATGCTTTTTACTTTTTCTGTTTCTTTCACATTTGTTTTTCTTTAGATGCACTTAATGAATTTTGCTTTTCAGAGTAAGTGCTTTTATACTCCAGTAAAATAGCCTGCCTTTAAAGTGACTTTCAGTATCTATTTTTGACAAGGAATTAATGTGTTAGCTAGACCTGTGAGATGGAGGATGTTAATGAAAGTACTGGTTAGCATTTTTAAAATTAGAGACATTTTTATTTCCTTTTCTTTCCCACTCTTCCTGTAACTCCCTTTCCCTTTTTCATTTGTTTTCCTCCTACAATGTTAACAGTAAACCACAAAATGGGAATATATATATATTTTAAATATATTTTATTGATTTTTTTACAGAGAGGAAGGGAGAGGGATAGAGAGTTAGAAACATCGATCAGCTGCTCCTTCACACCCCCTACTGGGGATGTGCCTGCAACCAAGGTACATGCCCTTGACTGGAATCGAACCTGGGACCCTACAGTCTGCAGGCCGATGCTCTATCCACTGAGCCAAACTGGTTAGGGCAAAATGGGAATATTTTTTAGCTTGCTATTAATCCATGAACCATAGAATTAATGTTTTAACTGTCCTGAGCATATCAATAGCTGATTACTTTATATATTAATTTATATATATATTTGATTTCAGAGAGGAAGGAAGAGGAAGAGAGAGATAGAAACATCAATGATAAGAGAGAATCATTGATCGGCTGCCTCCTGCACACCCCACACTGGGGATTGATTCCGTAACCCAAGCATGTGCCCTGACTGAGAATCAAACCATGACCTCCTGGTTCATAGGTCAATGCTCAGCCACTGAGCCACACTGGCTGAGCAGTGGATTATTCTTTTACTTCCTTATTTGACTATCTTTGTTTATAATACATACTAGAGGCCCAGTGCACGAATTTGTGCACCAGTGGGGTCCCTCGGCCTGGCCTGTGGGATTGGGCTGAAACTGGCTCTCCGACATCCCCCGAGGGGTCCTGGATTGTGAGAGAGCGCAGGCCAGGCCAAGGGACCCCACTGGTGCAGGATTGGGGCCAGGGAGGGACCATGGGAGGGCTCCAGGGTGTGTCCGGCCCGTCTCACTCAGTCCCGACTGGCCAGACCTCAGCAGCAAGCTAACCTACCAGTCAGAGCGTCTGCCCCCTGGTGGTCAGAGCATGTCATAGCAACTGGTCGACCGGCCAACTGTCTGCCCCCTGGTGGTCTGTGCACGTCATAGTGTCTGGTCAACTGATCAACTGTCTGCCCCCTCGTGGTCAGTGCATGTCATAGTGCCTGGTTGACTGGTCACCTGTCTGCCCCCTGGTGGTCAGTGCATATCATAGCGAGTGGTTGCGCGGTCTTAGCATATCATTAGCATATTACACTTTGATTGGTTGAATGGACAACCAGACACGTAGCATATTAGGCTTTTATTATATAGGATTTTAAAAATACTCTTTAGACAATCAGACATGTATCACCAAAAATCATAGTCTTATACCTATTTTCCAAATAATATCGAGTGGAAAATTGGTCCTGCATATGCATATGTTTTTAGACTAATATTAATTTTTGAAGTGTCACATGAGCTCATTTAATGGTTATTAATTAATATTATCTGGGAATTTTTATTTTTCAGACTACAAAGACAGTTGGATCAACTCAACAAACATTAGAAAATATCTCTAACATGACAGGAAATGGCTCTTTTTCATCATCATCATCTTCTCACTTACCCTCTGAAAATGAAAAGCAGCAGCAGATTCAGCCCAAGGCATACAATCCAGAAACCCTGACAACTATCCAAACACAGGACATTTCACAGCCTGGTACCTTTCCAACAGTTTCTGCTTCTAGTCAGCTGCCTAACAGTGATGCACTACTGCAGCAGGCCACACAGTTTCAGACAAGAGAAACTCAATCTAGAGAGGTATTACAGTCAGATGGAACTGTGATTAATTTGTCACACCTGACTGAGGCATCACAACAACAGCAGCAGTCACCACTACAAGAACAAGCACAGACTTTACAGCAGCAGATTTCATCAAGTATGTTCCCATCACCAAGTAGTGTGAGTCAGATACAGAACACGATTCAGCAGTTGCAAGCTGGAAGTTTTAGCGGCAGTACTGCTAGTGGCAGCAGTGGAAATGTTGACTTGGTTTTAGAGGCACAACAAGTTTTAGAGGCACAACAAGTTTTAGAGGCACAACAACAGTTATCTTCAGTTTTGTTTTCTACTCCAGATGGTAATGAGAATGTTCAAGAACAGCTTAGTGCAGACATTTTTCAACAAGTCAGTCAAATTCAAAATAGTGTAAGCCCTGGAATGTTTTCTCCGACAGAGCCAGCAGTCCATACCAGACCAGATAATTTAATAGCTGGAAGAGCTGAAAGTGTTCACTCACAGACCGAAAACACATTATCTAATCAACAGCAGCAGCAACAGCAACAGCAGGTGATGGAATCATCAGCTGCAATGGTGATGGAGATGCAACAGAGTATCTGCCAGGCTCAGATTCAGTCGGAATTATTTCCTTCAACTGCTTCAGCAAATGGAAATCTTCAGCAATCTCCAGTTTACCAGCAGACTCCTCATATGATGAGTGCATTACCTACCAGTGAAGACATGCAAATGCAATGTGAATTGTTTTCTTCTCCTCCTGCAGTTTCTGGAAGTGAAACTAATACAACCACCACACAGCAGGTTGCAACCCCTGGCACTACCATGTTTCAAACGTCAAGTTCAGGAGATGGAGAGGAAACAGGCACACAAGCAAAACAGATGCAGAACAGTGTCTTTCAGACCATTGTCCAAATGCAACATAGTGGGGACAGTCAACCTCAAGTTAACCTTTTTTCATCTACGAAAAGTATGATGAGTGTTCAAAATAGTGGTGCCCAGCAACAAGGTAATGGTTTATTCCAGCAAGGTAATGAGATGATGTCACTCCAATCTGGGAATTTTTTGCAGCAGCCTTCTCATTCACAGGCTCAGCTTTTTCATCCTCAAAATCCTATTGCTGATGCTCAGAACCTTTCCCAGGAAACTCAAGGCTCTATTTTTCACAGCCCAAGTCCTATTGTTCACAGTCAGACTTCTACAACCTCCACCGAACAGATGCAGCCTCCAATGTTTCACTCTCAAAGTACCATGGCTGTGCTACAGGGCTCTAATGTTCCTCAAGATCAGCAGTCAGCCAACATATTTCTTTCTCAAAGTCCAATGAATAATCTTCAAGCTAATGCAGTAGCCCAGGAAGAACAGATTTCATTTTTTGCAGCTCAGAACTCAATTTCTCCACTTCAGTCAACGTCAAACACTGAGCAGCAAACTGCTTTCCAACAGCAGCCTCCAATGTCACACATTCAGACCCCCATGCTTTCTCAAGAACAGGCACAACCCTCCCAGCAAGGTCTGTTTCAGCCTCAGGTATCCCTGGGCTCCCTTCCTCCTAATCCAATGCCTCAAAACCAACAAGGGACAATCTTCCAGGCACAGCACTCAATAGTTGCCATCCAGAGTAATTCCCCATCCCAGGAGCAGCAGCAGCAGCAGCAACAGCAGCAACAGCAGCAGCAACAGCAGCAACAACAACAGAGTATTTTATTCAGTAATCAGAATACCATGGCTACAATGGCATCTCAAAAACCACCACCACCAAACATGATATTCAACCCAAGTCAAAATCCAATGGCTAATCAGGAGCAACAGAACCAGTCAATTTTTCACCAACAAAATAATATGGCCACAATGAATCAAGAGCAACAACAGCCCATGCAATTTCAGAACCAGCCCACAGTTTCCTCACTTCAAAACCCAGGTCCTACCCAGTCTGAATCGTCACAGACTTCCTTGTTCCATAGCTCTCCTCAGATGCAGCTGGTCCAGGGGTCACCCAGTTCTCAAGAGCAGCAAGTAACTCTCTTCCTCTCTCCAGCATCCATGTCTGCATTGCAGACCAGTATAAACCAACAAGAGATGCAACAGTCTCCTCTTTATTCCCCTCAGAACAACATGCCTGGAATTCAAGGAGCCACATCTTCACCTCAACCACAGGCTACTTTATTTCACAACACTACAGGAGGCACAATGAACCAACTACAGAATTCCCCTGGCTCATCTCAGCAGACTTCAGGAATGTTCTTATTTGGCATTCAAAATAGTAAGAAACTCTAATTTCTCATTTCTTAAATGTTATTGGTTTAAATGGTCAAAGTATTATTATTATTAGAAGGAAGCAAAGCACAGTGGTTTTAAGAACACAGATTATAGTTTGTCAGAACTGAGTTCAAGTCCCAGTTATACCAGGAATAGACTGTGAGATCTTACACAAGTTATTTGACTGGCATGAACCTCAGTTTGCACATCTAATAAAATGGTGGTAATATTACATACTTGACAAGGATATTGGGAGGATTAAATGTGGTAGTGTATGTGTTTGCCACTTTAACCTATGAACTTGAAAGGAAAATGAAGAATGACAGAAAATCTCAGCCAATTTAAGTAGTTTCCAAGGAGGTAAAAGCCCATCTTTAATGTTTATGTACCAAGGAAATTATATAGGACTTAATATGGTAGCTGGACAAAGTTGTGTTTGTATACTGCTAAGAGGAAACCAAAGATGAACATCAGTACTTTTTGGGGGGCTGTCAGGTGCCTCACTTTTAGTTCTATGCTGAGTGAACACAATAATGACTTACCCCAGCAACTAATTCATATCTTCTTGTGAATCTTAAGAGAAAGTAACTAATCAGATAGCTTCTCTATTTAAAATGTCTCTGCAGACTGTAATCAGCTTTTAACTTCTGGACCAGCTGCATTGCCAGATCAGTTGATGGCCATAAGTCAGCCAGGTCAACCACAAAACGAGGGCCAGCCACCTGTGACAACACTTCTTTCTCAGCAAATGCCAGAGAATTCTCCACTGGCATCCTCTATGAACACCAACCAGAACATTGAAAAGATTGATTTGCTTGTTTCATTGCAAAACCAAGGGAACAACATGACTGGCTCCTTTTAACTGGATATGTAAGTATTGCATTTTGGCTTCTCTTTTTATTGAAAAGCATCAATGAATTTTATTATTCCCAGCAGATTTGGTTAAGTAAATGTGGTGTACTCACCAGGTGGTACTTTTTTTTATTCTGAATAAGTTATTCGATATGTGATAGCTTATGGTCATTTTGTTAATACTGGGCATTCCGCCCTAGCCAGTTTGGCTCAGTGGATAGAGCACCAGCCTGCGGACTGAAGGGTCCCAGGTTCGATTCCAGTCAAGGGCACATACCCAGGTTGTGGGCTCAATCCTTAGTGGGGCGCGTGCAGGAGTCAGCTGGTCGGTGATTCTCTCTCATCATTGATGTTTATATCTCTCTCTCCCTTCCTCTCTGGAAGCAATAAAAATATATTAAAAAAAATACTGGCAATTTCTTCTGGCTCTAACCTTCTTTGCCTTGGAATGACAGAAAATCTGATGTATGTATTATATATTAGATATAATAATGTCTCATTTCTCCTTTCCTCGAGGAATAAATATTGAGTCAGAAAACCCTGTGGAAGTATAAATATGATAAAGTATCATCTATGGTACTGTAATATACTTTGGGATCATTCAGGGTAACAGGAACTTTATAAGTGCTTTCCCTCACTAACGAGTTATATTAAATGTTTTCTTTTTTTAGAAATTCCATGAAGAAAATCCTGATTCCAAGATGTCCTGAGATCTTGTGATTCCATGAGGATTATTTAACTGTTACTTTAAAAACAAAATGAAATATGAAAAACTATGATGGAGTAAATGGATAGATTTTACTCTGGCGGCAAATGAGCACACCTATGCTGCCTGTTGCAGTGACTAGCCACCATCGTTAACATGTTCAGATTTTGTATTCCTAATAGCACTGATGACTGAGAATCTGCTTGAGTTTCAAGCTGACAGATTTAATTGTTGCTATTTTCCTAGGAGCTATTTCTTTAAAAGTACAGTTTAAATTTAAAAGCTGGACTGCTCAGTTATTATTGCTATTAGAAAATAACCCATATTGTCATGTTTACTTTTGTTCTTTGTCATTTTCTTTCCTGCATTGTTTTAGTCAAATAACAGCTTTTGAAAAAGGAAAATTCAAATAATAACTAAGGCTGTGATTTTTCAATATAAAAAGCACAGCTATTGGCCAAAGTGAAGGAATCCTTTTTCAGTTTTTATAGAAAACTGGAGAGATAGCATTCTGACAAGTAAGCTGTATTAAGAGCTTTACACAGAGAAGAGGCTTCTTTATCACAAAGGCAGACAACACACAACTGGGAACAGCTGGAGTGCTATTGATTTTATTTTTCAGATTGTTGTTTAATTCTCTGTATTTCTGATAAGGAGTTCAGCCATAAGTACATAGAAGAATAATTATCTTGCTCTTTAAAAAGTGAAGGGGATAATATTATGGTAAATTATATTCTGATATCCTCTTGCAGTAGTTTAAATTGACACAGCAATTTAAATCTGTTTTCTTCTTAACCCAGTCTTGGGCTGGTTGTTCCCTTTTTATATTCATCTATATTATTCCCCTCCTTTTCACTTTATTTTAAAAAATTGGTAATATATTCCTAGCTTTGTGACCCTGTAGCATCTTAAGGAAAAGGCCACTTTGATCTGGGGTAACCCAACAAGTCCTGCAGCACAGGTGGGAGGTGTAAGGAGAGCTGATTTTCAGGAATGAGGAGAGCTGATTCCTGAGAAACAAAAAACAATGCATTTTTCTCCATGAACGGTGCTGTTCTGAAGTCTTCAAATTTTTCCCTCTAATGGGAAACAGTATAAATTTTAATTTTTAAAAGGCAAAGTAAAATTTCTTGAAGCGTAACTTCTCCATGAGCTGCAGTGAGTGTAATTTACTTGTCACCTTAGTGCTTTACAGATTGAAGTGGTCACTATCTGATGGTTCCCACAAGCCTTAGGCTTTACAGGGTCATGTCATTGACTTAAAATGAAGAATTAACTTGTGTTTCATCTATAGAGAGCAAAATAACACACTCCAGAACTTGTAGTTGTAGCAGTTATACAGTTTTGGGTGTTCTTACCACCCATGGGATGCTTGCTTCTCATTACAACCTGTTGTCTAGACACATGCTTATGTCTTATTTTTCTTTTGGCATGTAGAAAGCTGTTAATACAGTTTAAGGCCAAATTGTGTGTGGCTTCTATATGTAGATAAGATGTTTTGGTATCTTGTCAGTTTCATTTATTTTTTTAAGTGTACAAAAAATAGCCTGTTGATTGTTTGTTGAAGGCTATTTTTCTATTTGGTTTGTTGTTGTTGTTATTGTTTTCTATCCTATACATTTAGTTAAACTTAGTGGAAGTGTGGTCTTGGTTTTGTTTATACAGCCAGTTTTTTCCCCTTTTTTGTGTGATCTTCCTTGGTTCTTTGAATGTGCTCTTCTTCTAATTTGTTTTTTTTTTCTTACTCATATATTCTTCCCATCACCCCCAACCTTACTTTCTCTCTCTGATTGAGAGGCATTGAATTACGTTTTCAGTAGTACAGGCTTCTTGCCGATATGAAGGGAACTTTTCAGAAAGAGACCTACTCTGGGTCATTTAATTTTGAATACAGTTTTCAATCGTTCAAGTTTTGGATGGTTTATATCTAATGTGTGTTTCATTTTTTTGGAAAGCTATATTTTGTATTTAGGAAATGGTATACTATTTTGCTATTTGTACTGAGTGAGTACATTGGCATAAATATAGAAATTTATATATATACATATATATAAACTATTCTTTTTTGCCACACATTTTTGTGGTAAATTTGTGAGTTAGTCTGATGTTCTACCACAACGTGGCGTCTGATAACAGTGAGGGGGGGTTTGTTATGTCTTTATTGAGTATTTAAGTATCTTTTGAAACAAATGACCTGTTTATCTGTGGCCATTCCATCAGGCAGTTCTTTGATGTTCCTAGTGGGCTAAAGGCAGCTTACTGTGTGTTTGCTGGATATTTTACTCAGCAAAATGTTAGAGTAAGGAAACCCATCTAGGCAGTTGTGTCAAATGGTGTTTCACGAGAATGAGCCATTCAGTCTTTGCTCACTATATATTTAATATTTTATTATTGTTATTATTATTATTAATTGGCCTTCTGTGTTCTATGCTTTTTTATTTATAAAGACACTAAAAATGTTTGTAATTTTAATAACATTTTCCCCACCTTGTAATATCCAGAGCTACTTTATAAATTCTCTGAACTGAAAGCATTTTCCTCAATATATCTCTTCTCCCCCCATCACTATCGAGAAAAATTACTCAATATAGTTCAGGTTATGAGAAAGACCAGCCACACAATCCAGTGCTTCAGTTTTAAAATGTAAAACTCCAACTGCAGAGGGTTAACAAATGCCAGAAAGCTTATCCAGCAAGTATAAAAATAAGAAGTAGAAATAAAATACTGTAAGTTTATTTCTGAGTTTTCTGAATTTTTTTCTAAGAGATTAAACAGGAGACTCAGGAAGTCTATTTGTTCACCAAATTCTAATTAGAATGTTAACATTGCTCTATGGATGAAGTGGTGGCAAGAAGACTGGCTGTGTGCTGATTTCTGTTGTTTAGCAAGAGGTTTATCATTGTAAAATGCTGATTGCCAATGCCAAGTCACCAGGGACCAATTTTCTGTTTTATAATATCTAAGTTTAGAACAGAACATACACCTGAATGGTTTGATTGGACAGAGGCAGAAAACCCAGTTTTTATTTTCATAAAATTTGTGGTTATTTATACAAGGGCTGTGCTATGCTACCATATTCTTATTCAATAATGATGTTGTGTGTTTTTTTTAACATTATCAAATGCTCCTTATCCCTAAAGGTCAATGTTAGGTACAGCATTCTGAATATACAATTTGGTTACAAAAATATTTATCTTCTTATTGAAGAGTTAGCTTAGTAGTCAGTGGTTGATACTTGTGCTAATAATACAGTTTCCAGATTACTGTTACAAGTTATTTATGGCAGAAGGTCCTAAATAAGTTATGAACCACATTTTAGTCCTTTGTTTTGTTATTATATTCAATTGTTCTTGCTTTAGCAACTCACATTAATGCTTGGAGCTTATCTCTGTGTCTGTGTTAGTGTTTGTGTGTGTTGTATTCCTTATTGTCATTCCATTATATATCCACACCAACATGGGAGAAGATAATTAGAAGTCATAATTTTGCTTCTGAGCTTTATCATGTTACCTTTGTAGTTAGAGTCATGTTTTTATTTAGCCAATGCAAATCTGTTTTCACCAGTCTCCCTAGAACAGGTTTTTTTAGAGGACTTTGTTTGTTATAGATGCAGTATTAATGAGGGACCTTCCTTCCTTTCCTCTCCTTCTCCTCCTCCTCTTTCTCCTATTCCACTTGAAATTTCAAATCATGTGCAGTTATTTCCTAGTACAATCATATATATTAAAAGTTCACCATACCTGGCCTCTCTAGTTTCTTTTCTATAGCTCTCTCCTCCCCCTCCCCCTCCTCCTCCTCCTCCTTCTCTTCCTTTTTGTAATACTGTATATGCTATAGTTGGGAGTTTCATTATATGTGCATTTCTGGCCCATCAGAACTTCATTTAATCTGCTAAGGGGAAGTAGTGTCCAAGGAAATGAGAAAGTAGTTATAGCTGAGTCCCTGTAGAATTAAGATAATTCCTTTTGACTTCTTAAGCCATTCTAGATGCTTGTTTTGGAAAAGTAATATCTGTTTAGACTCAGCACTAATTAAAGAACAGAATTAAATGCTTTAATTAATAAATCAAAGTCTCAAATTCAATATGACTTAAAAATATTCACCAGAAGTAACTTGAGAATTTTTCATCTTTCTGGTGAAATTTTCTGTTCTAATATCTGTTTCCTAGTTGATTTTTTTAATCAGTTGAAAATTATATTAAGACCTGTGAGCTTTACTTAGCTTCATGACCACAGGCTGCATCCCTAACCAAGACAACCATGTTATAGCTGAATGACTTTGGTTATATTCAGGGAGGGACTTAATGAAAGAAAGAGACTGAATAGTTAGTTCAGCAGCTTTATTAAAATAATAACTCAGAGAATATACCCTACTAAGTGGTTTAGTAAAATCTAATAACATGTATAAAAAGGTTATCTCCTCTGCTTATTTGTATCAGTAGAGCTAAATTGTGGAGATAATGTTCATAATGTAGTAAATGTCAAAATAATACCTACAATGTAATTTGTGAATTGTCCCAGGGCTGTAATTACTTCTTTAGTCCCCATTGATTTTCATGCCATTCTAGCCTCACTTATTAATAAAATTATATTTTTATTCTACTTTCTCTTTTGGACATTTTAAAATTAATATTTTATATCTAAATTAAATGAAAGAGTGCCTTTTACCATGATAGTGCCCCTCTTTTTGTAGTTTCCTTTTTCACTATTGCCAAAAATACATACATTATTTTAATAGGTCCCAGTTTGAACTTTTCCACTTAGTCATTCTCTTTTCTTCATTTCTTTCTTTTCTTTTTGAAGATCTACTTGGATTTATTAAGCAATTCATGAATTGGGCAGCATCCTATCTAGCAACCAGAAGGGCACTATAAGGGGTTGTGCCAAATAGAAGGTTTTTATAGCTCTTTTTCTTAATCATCACAGGAAACAACTTCATAAGTTTCTAACTCCTTTTTGCATAAGAGTAACATAAAAGATACATTATCAGAATCATTCCTCTGAGGGAGGGTAAGTAAAAGATTACAGAATTATACTATTTAGGTTTTATACAAATTAACTAAATTTGTCTTCATCTCAGCCAACTAATGATAGATCTTACCTGAATGCTAATGAAAATTTTACTACCTATGAGACTCCATGCATACAAATGTGTGTATAGTTAAATTTCAGGAAGTGTTCAAAGCATCTTCTGTGATCTTAATTAGATGAGTGAAAATAAGTCACAAACACTTAGTTTAAATAAAATGTGATAATGTCAGTTATTCTAACTAGACAGGGCCAAGTAATTAATTATAGTGCACTTCTTGCTCATCAGAGCCTCAATAATCTACCTATGAAAAATAGTGTTAAAAGAAATGAAGAAGTTATATCTGAGTCTCTCCAGATCTAAGATCTGAATTGAGTATTTCTCTAGTTTTTGTTAATTTTGCCTATGTTCCATCCAGCTCCTTAACACGGTGGTGGTGCCTGAAGAAAGGACCATCAGCAACAGGTCAGGATAGAATTAGCTTTGGGATGAGCTGCTTTCCTCATGTGAGTATTTCCATGGTTGTTAGTGACACTGATGACTACAAACATTTATGCAATATTCCTAATACCCTATTGATATTATGCACTTTAATCATTCCAAAGAAGTCAAGGATGCTGTATAGTAATGATTCCTTCTTAATGAATACATCTTAACAATTTAGAATGTTTATGTCCCTTTTTATTTTGGACAGTAAGTTAATATAAGTGTTATGTGAATATTTTCTAAAATGACTATAGTAGGACTTAGACTTTGAAATGTAATTGACTATAAGGGGAAATGATTACAGTTCAGGAAATCATTTTAGCTTGCTAATCTATATGTTTGAGAGTTAATTAAACCCAGCCCTCTTCCTATATATTTTATGTCATGTACATAAGAACATTACAGTATATAGTTTTCTACATATATGATATGTATAATCCAGTGGTTCTCAAAATATGTCCTTAGCCTACCAGCTAACATCAGTATCGCCTGAGAACTAGTTAGAAATGCAAATTCTTAAGGCCTATCCCAGGCACACTGAATCAGAAACTCTGGAGTGGGGCTCAGCAGTCTGTGTTTTAACACCCTCCAGGTGATTCTGGTGCATGGGTCAAGTTTGAAAATTACTGGTATAAACTATTTACAATAAGATCTAAAAAGCTGTTTTTTTCCCTACTCATATAGATAGTTATACTTTGTTCTCTAAGTAAATTCAGCCTGATCTGGTTATTCATAATCCTTTATTGGCAATGATAACTTATTCTCCATACTGCTTATAGTATATTTTATGTATATATACAATTAGTCTAGTTATTGATAATTCAGTTAACTTAGTTGGGCATATTCCTACCACTTACTAAAAAGTTTACATTAAGGGACTGATTTAAAGATATAGGTGCAATGTTTTATATTTCTTTTAATTGTTATGACATTTAAGTAGCTAATATAATTGACAGGTGCTAAATTATTCTGTTTATGCATAAAATGGGTACATTGTGGACAGTGATAATACAAGCTTTTTTTTCATTGCCTCTTATTTTACCAGCAGACAACAATTTTGGTGTGGCTAGGCCAACTCTCAGAACAAATTTGTCATTCCTATATTTATATTTGTATCTGAGATATTAAACAAGATGGCTGGCCAGATCAACAAAGCACCTTATTTAATTTCTTTTTTTGAATACATGAAACTTCTTTAAAAGTAGCTTGCTTAGTATGAGAACTGCTGCAGTAGAGTTACAGCTATCCTTGGAATTTATACTTCAGACAACGATTTACTAAAATCTTAAACAAGACAGTAATGCATTATATAATTTGGGCATTTCTCCCTTGTCAATGTATGCACCATGGTAAATATAAACTAACCACCATAAGTCAAGTGATTTATTCATTCATTTTCATCTTCCTGTGTAATTTAATACCTCTGTAATTGTTCTACTCTTCCTCCCGCTGTTTACAAATCAATTAACTCATGAAAGAAAAATGCACATTTCAAAATAAAACTAATTATATACTCTATAAAAATCACCACTGCTTAATACTAGCAGTGGAAATGTAAGTGGCTTACTCTACAAACTATGGTGCTGGAAAATACATAGGCAAACTGTTGGGAGATGCTCTCTAGCTACATTCCTCCTTTCTTGTTCCCTTTCCTCTCTCTCCCCCACTTGATTGCATAATAGTATTCTGTACCCAAAACACTCTACCATAATTCTGTTTGACTTTAACTTGTAATATCTCTTCTAAAAGCCCATATTTAAGCCTCATATCACCCCTGCTCTTTTTTTCCTCAGAAGTAATTTGCCTGATTTGAATAGCTCATGGGGATCACTTGTTATTTTAGCTAATGAACCTCAGGACAGCACACACACACATACACACACACACCCCATCTCAGATGTTTGAGAATGGGATTGGAATCAGACTAATGTGTCCAGTAAAGAGCTGTCCACTGAAGTGATTATGACTTTAGGGACTACAAACTGATTCCAATGACATTCAGCTAATTCTTTTCATCTAATGAATGTATCTTCTCACCTTGTTCTCTTATTTCTAATTGATAAGCTCCAAGTAGTTGCTAATTTTTTGACAACTTTTACTTCGTCTTTTAAATAAATATATTACAAGTATTTCATTAACCTATTCTCAAGTGGTTTAGCTACCATTCTGCCATTTAAATTTTATTTGCTTGAGCACACTGATCAACCACTGAACTGCCTTCTTCCATTGTCCTACAATGACTATTTTTGTGTATGTGGCTTTCATAGTTGGGGTTGCAGAGCACTGACACCAGATATTTTCAGTTTGTTCTCTGGGGGAATTTTATTTGCATCTATGTTTTTAGCTATCTGTGATAACTTGTTAAATATTAAAAAGATATTTTGCTTCTATTGAACATTTGTATACTCGCAACTATATTTCTGTAAACAGCTGCAGTCAAAATAAAAAAATTGAAAGTTTTCATTTTGCAGTGGGTAACTGTCTTTTTTTCCTCAAACTTTGTGGATGAATTTGTATCCATAAATGTCATTTTTGAGCAGCAGAATGCCATTTTGCTGAAATTATAAAATCATTAGGAAAAGGTATGAAATATAGAAATATTTTCAAGTAGTTATTTTGTGCCTGTTAGTGTTCAAAGTGCTTAGTGTGATCAATTTTTTGTTTGTTTTACCGAGTTTAAATGTTTCATGCTTATTAGTAAAATAGAACATACATGTAGCAAATCATGTAGCATGGAGGTGCTTTTGATGAACCTTAAGTCTCCCTAGCCCTCAGTCCCACATCCAAAGGCAATCTCTTTTTATTCTATTGGCAGTTATTTCCACATGTATAAATTAGTGTTTACTAGAATGTAACATATATCATCATATCACTCAAAATGATTTCAGGTGATACATGGAAAACATTTTTTTAAACATAGTATATGTTTTAATGTACATTAGAAAAAATATGTGTACACCTACTAGACTATAGGGAGATATCAATCACGTTAAAGAACAGTAATAAGACTTGGTCGGTATGGCGCAATTGGTTGAGCACAGTCCCATGTACCTAGAAGTTGTGCATGACAGTTCAATTCTCAGTCATGGCACATGCCCAGGTTGCAGACTTGATCCCCAGTAGAGGGTGTGCAGGAGGCAGCCAATTGATGTTTCCCTTCCTTTCAAATCAATAAAAACTTATTTTTTAAAAAACATATTAAACAGCCAGGCTGGCGTGGCTCAGTGGTTGAGCTCTGACCTATGAACCAGGAGGTCACGGTTCGATTCCTGGTTAGGACACATGCCCGAGTTGCAAGCTAGATCCCACAGATTGTGCAGCTGATCCATGATTCTCTCATCATTGAAGTTTCTCTCTCTCCCTCTCCCTTCCTCTCTGAAATTAAAAACAACAACAACACACATATGTATATTAAACAAATACTAATACAGATGATACATGGATATTATGAATATGATATATAAGAAACTAATATTTTAGAAGTACTGCTTTAGATAGTGTGTTGATTCTGTGGGAGTGACTGCATATTTTTTTTTTTTTTAATTTTAGGGAGGAAGGGAGAGAGAAAGAGAAACATCGATTGGTTGCTTCCTGTATGCACCCTGACTGGGGATTGAACCCACAACCTAGGTATGTGCCCTGACCAGGAATCAAACCCACAGCCTTTTTGGTTTAGAGGATGACACTCAACCAACTGAGCTACAGGGCCAGGGCAAAAGTGACTGAATTTTTAACATATCCAAATGTATCTAAATGAGTTGTCACTTTAGGAGGATTAAATTAATTATATATTAAATAAACTACATACATATTTCAACAATGTTGCCAACATTCAAAATAAGTTTAAACGTTTTCTTCTTTTGGCTATTGACTTTAACAGCACTGGAAAGAGAATAAACAAATTAAATTTAATAACTAAATTTCAAAAATACTTTGGTCCAGCCCTAGCCAGTTTGGCTCAGTGTATGGAGCATCGGCCTGCAGACAGAAAGGTCCCAGGTTTGATTCCGGTCAAGGGCTCATGCCTGGGTTGTGGGCTCAGTCCAACGTGCAGGAGGCAGCCAATCAATGATTCCCTCTCATCATTGATGTTTGTACCTCTCTCTTCCTCTCCCTTCCTCTCTGAAATCAATAAAATATATATATGTATATGTATATGTATACATATATATATTAGAAAAACAATACTATGGTCCAGAAAAACAACATATGTGGGCAAGAGACTGATCTGAAGATGAGACTGCAGAGGCCACCAGAAAAGCTGATGCAGTCCTGGTTTATGTAATTCAAATCACAGTATCCAGAGCAAGGGAAATAATTGTCCTGCTTTACTCCAGGCTGGTAAAAGTACTGCTCTGTCATCTTGTAAGGAGCAAATTCTCAGCAGCCATATAATCAGACCTATAAGAACTGAAACATCATTTATCCTGCTTGTGACACAACAGGAACTCTAGCAGTACAAAAGCAGCTACAGTCAACAGCAACACTAAATGGTCTTGCTCTGAGGAAGAGGTATTGATTGCTACTCTTGCTCTCTATTTCATGGTACCATTGTCCCTGCTTCTACTGAGGCAGTATAATGTAACTAGAGGCCTGATGCACGAAATTGGTGCAAGAGTAGGCCTTCCTTGCCCTGGCTGCCGGCACCGGCTTCCCTCTGGCACCCCAGACCCGGGCTTCCCTCCGGCCACTGGCAGACCCCCGGGACCCAGGCTTCCCTCGAAGCCCTGGCTTCATCCGGAAGGTCGCCCGGAAGGATGTCCGGTCTAATTATCATATTACGCTTTTATTATTATAGATGTTTTAAAGCATAGGCTCTTGAGTTTGCCTTCTTTAGGTGGAATTTTGGTTCCTACACCTATTTAACCTCTCTATTTCTCAATTTTTTATCTGTAGTGTGGAAACAAAAATTGAACTCTCTTCAGAGTTTTTTCAAGAATTAAGTAAATGAATCCATGTAAAATTACTTAGTTCCTAGCACACATAAATGCCTAATAAGTGTTACCTTGTGTTAGTATTACTAGGCCTGTTATTACTCTGTTCTTCTGTCTCTTGTGCTCTGGATCCCATATTCTTTTGTCTTTTCAAAGACATGTCCCTTTAACTGTCCCCTTTTTCTAACATCAAAACCTTCTCTCTCTCAGTCGTTCTCACTGGCACATAAATTTCCCTTATCTCTTAGACTATCAAATAAAATAACTTCCTTTAACCACACACACTGTTTCCACTTCCTCTCCTTCTATTCTTGAACCCATTCTAATCAGGCTTCTATCACAACACTCTAAACTGATTCTTGTCAAAACCCCCAATGGCCTCCACATGGCCATGTCTAAAGGTCAGTCCTCCAGCCTCTGTTACTTGGCTTATCGGCAGTATTTGGCACACTGATCACTCCCTCCTTGAAACTCTCTCTTCACTCGGCTTTCAGGACACCACGCTTGGCTCTCCTGCTTCACTGACCTCCTGACATTGGAGAGCCCTAGGTGTCACTCATCAGGTCTCTCCTCTATCATAACTCACTTCCTAGGTGACCTCATCCAGTCTCATTGCTTTATATAGTACCCACATGCTGAAGATGCTCAAATGTGGTATCCTTAGCCATAATTTCTCCCTTAACTCGAGGTTCCTATTATCCAACTGCCAGCTTGACAGCTTCACTTGGCTGTCTTAATAGATGTCTCAAATGTAACATGTCTGAAGTCAGATTTTGATACCACCCTTTCCATCCCCACTCTTGCCCCCAATACTCTTTCCAGATTCTTCCTCAGCTTAGATGGAATCTCCATTCTTCCAACTGCTTAGGCTAAAATACCATTAAAGTGTGTTGTTTTTGTTTTTATCTGACCTAAATCCAATCCATCATTAAATCCTATTATTCCTATCTTTGAAATATATCCAGAATCCAACCACTTGTCAACATATCTATTGCTATCATCTTGCTTCCAAAACAAATGTAGATTGTGACAACAGCTTCCCAAAAATTCTCCCCGCATCTATCGTTACCCCTCATACTCGATTCTTCACATACCAGCCAGACTGAAACGTAAGTCAGATTATGTTACACCTCTGCTCAGAATCCTCCAGGATTTCCTAGCTTTACATTCTTACAATGCTTATACAGCCCTCTGTGATCTGATCCAACTATGTCTGGCCCATCCTACTCTTCCTTTCTCTGCTTTAGTAACTTCCTTTTTCGCCCTCAAACATACTAAGCATGCTCTGCCTCAGGGTTTGCACTCACATCATTGCTGCCTGCAGTGCTCTTCCTTCACATATCCATGTCTCACTCTCACTTTACCAGGAGTTGGCTTAAATGGAGCCTTATCAGAGCAGTCTTTCTTGATCACCCTGGATAAAATGGGACTCATATCCCATCACTAACCCTCTTCTGCTTTTTCTCCCCAGCATTTATCACCACTTGACATATTTGTTCATCTCTCTTTTTTTTCCTTTTTTTTTATTGCTTAAAGTATTACAAAGGGTATTACATATGTGTCCTTTTTTTTTCCCCGCCCTTGACAATCCCCTGGCCTCCCCTATCTCCCAGTGTCTTATGTCCATTGGTTATGCTTATATGCATGCATACAAGTCCTTCGGTTGATCTCTTACCCCCCTCCCTCCTGCCCCCAACCCTCCCCGGCCTTCCCGCTGTAGTTTGACAATCTGTTTGAGGCAGCTCTGCCTCTGTATCTATTATTGTTCATAAGTTTATAATGGTCTTTATTATCCATGAATGAGTGAGATCATGTGGTATTTTTCCTTCATTGACTGGCTTATTTCACTTAGCATAATGCTCTCCAGTTCCATCCATGCCGTTGCAAATGGTAAGAGTTCCTTCTTTTTTACAGCAGCATAGTATTCCATCATGTAGATGTACCCATATTTGTTCATCTCTTGTTCTTCACTAGAATGCAAACTCCATGAGAGTAGGCACTTTGCTGCATCCCCAATACCTAGAAGGGTGCCATGCCCATTGATTGGCTAAACCTAAATAAATTGGGCAAATCAGAATAAATACTTCCCCTTGGCATTTGTTTCCTGCATTCTGTTTTTCTTGATTTCTACACCACTCGATTATTTCCCGGATCTCTTTAAATGTGTGTCATTCAGTAGGAAGCAGCCCTATTAAGCAAACTCGCAAGCCAAGTCACCTTACAAGCTCTGACCCTAATTTAATACTGAATTCTCTCACCTCATCTCCCACTTTTGCCTGAATGCTTCTCTCTCTAACTTCACTGAAACTAGAGTGTGGGTTTGTTTTGCAGAAATGGATTTTATTTCATTTGGAACTTTTAGAAACGTACACAAAGTGAGGAGAAGGCAAAAGAAAATATTTTCACCAAGCAGAAGCACCAAGCCATCTGTCATTGTGGATATTGTAAAAGGAAAAAATACCCAGTGATCTGGCAACTGATGTTCTCTGGTGCCTGACACCATCATTTCTGTGGCAGGTATGAAGCTAGTCCCAGTTTCAGGCCACCTTGCTTTGCATCATTTGTTGTTTTCTTCCCATGCACCACAAGAGGGCAGTCTTTCATCATACTCTACTTGAATTATACCAACTCTGTGGCGCTGCACTTGGGAATTTCAAAGTGAAATTAGAATATTGTGACAGAATTATTCACCAAAGTAAAATGAAACACAGGCTTACCATTTTATCCCAAAAGTCCTGTGACCAAAACACATCCTTAAATGGAAAGTCATCAGTTTAGCAATGATACAGGGAAAAACTTTCCATGTGATTTTATAGATCACCTATACAGCAGTGTTTGTGGAAGGATGTTTTTAAGAATTGGGGCACTGTTTCCTTTTTTGAATTCATTCATTGTGGCAAATTGAAGTACACAGATGTGTTTTATCTCTGCAGACATTAAATTAGAAGATTGAGGTAAAGGAGACTTTTATTAGCTTTTCATTTCAAGATACCTGTGTGTACTGTATACAAACAACAGAAGTTAAAGGAAGAGTAACACTCAGATTAGCCATACCAGTCACTATGTAGTAATTAAAACCAATGCATATCACAAACAAGTCCCTTAGGTCTGACCGATTCAGTCATTGCTTTCTCTGGGCAATTCCCTTTTGCTGCAAACCACAGAGAGATAATTAAAAGAAAAATAGATCATTGAAGAGTTAGATGTTTTGTAGCCAGATTTAACCCTAAAAATGTGTCCCTAAGAGAAGGATTAAGTTGTACACAGGACCTTAAAGAATATTTTCTAGCACCTTTCTACACCTTTCCCTGCTTTATATTTTAAATGGCCTCTTGAACCTAATCAGATGTTGCCATGATAGCAATTGTAAAAATCAGTTATGTTTTAAAAAAAACTATTGAAAAATGTATGAATAGTCTAATCTCTCTTATATTCATTCCTCGTGGAAAAAGAAAGGCACAAATCTTAAAAACTAAAGGAAGCCTGAAGAAGAAACCTAGACTTGGCTACATTTTAGAAGAAAATCAAGCCTTGTGAGTCTTATTCTCTGGCTTTGATCTGGTTGTCAGTTGGAATGGACTTGCCCAAGTGATGGCCCACAGAAAGGCCAAACTTCTTAGCTTTCTGCTCTTCCTGGACCTCCTTTTTCATTAAGAATCCTGCCTGAAAGTTTAGGTCAAAGAAACTACTTGGAGCAAAATATAGTGGAGTCTCATCCCAGATATTCTCCAGGCGTTTCTTCCATCCTTCCAGGACCTGAAGTCGGGCATCCGCGGGAATGTGCCCAATGCTGTATGTCAGTTGAGGTTCTAAGACCTGGAAGCCACAGAAATGCAGAGTGCCACTCTGGGGATACACAAAGCACAAAGGTGAGTCACTACAAACCCCAAACAGTTTGTACCAGATACAAACCACAAAGGTTTATCTGAGCTTTCCAATAAGACACTGACGTGGAGGCGGAGGCACCCTGCAGAAGCAGTTCAGAACTGTATTCTCTCACCTTCTGCTCCCAGACCTAGCTGCCTGTTACCTATTTTAGCCTATTCAGCTGTGCTTTTCTTCATATAAATAAAACCTTGAACCTGTGCCAGCCTAGGATCCTCTGCCAGAAGTGTCGGAAGTTCTGTTCCATAAGGGAGAGTTGCAGCTGATTGGCAGCCGCTCTCTTGCCTGCTGCTCCCTGCCTCTCCATAGAACTAGATGAATCTTAACAAACGGTGCGTATCATCCATTCTCCAATAGTAATATTAATTCTCCAATATTATAGGTGGCCACCTCATTTGCTCTTCTCTCCACCCCTCTTCCTTAGAAGTGATTATCCTGAGAGCCTAGTGACCACCAAAAAGCATACTTCAGACTTCAGTTTTATTTACTGAACTAAAGCATTTCTTAAATTGGGGTGGAGGGCACTCTAATAGTCTGTGAGACTATTCCTGGAGAAGGATAGTAAGATTGGAGAGATGTCAGTCACCTGGAGAGAATCAGACCATGTGGCTGCACTAGTACTCGGTTAGGAGAGTGGTGTGTGGACAAGTGCATACAGGTTATTCTGTAAGCACAGGGGCCTGGGAAGAGAGGTAAATCTTAAAGCTCCCTGTAGTTGTGAATCATTACTATGCTTTCACCTCAGGTCTGTTTTCAGTTGTTATCTTGAGGATCTGGACCCCATAGAAAGCTCAATTAGGTAATCCCCCTGAAGGTTCACTGAAAATGAGGTACCTGAATTGGCCAGAGAATGATGTTCATGTCCCTGTGGACTCCCTGCAGAGAGTACATGGAGTCGCTACCACCAGTGGTGATGGACAGCACTGCCTTCTTGTTCTGTAAAAGAAAAGTCATCACCCTGAGCATCTCCTTGGTGACAGGAAGCTAATGAAACAGCCCCAGGGAGAACACAAACATCCACCCATCTGCTGTTGATGGTACTCCTCTGAGCCACTCAGTATGACTCTGCAGAAGTACCTGCCTGGAAGGCGGTACCACAGACAGACAGACATGTGAGCAGGGGCAAGCCATACTCCTGGGTGTGGCAAATCCGGGGAGACTGTCATGTAAATGCAAAACCAGTGTTGACTGCTGGTGCCTAGGAGTTATTTGTTTACTGTTTTATTCTGTCTCCCTACAGTGCTGGGCATAGATCTAGGCATGTCATCTAGAAGGTCAAATGTTTCTTGTATAGTAGTTGGGTCTCTGAAAAATGAAGACACACTATTTATTTTTATTATGGAATGTTTCAAACATAAAGAAAATAGTACAATTGACCCTTGAACATTGTAGGGGTTAGGGGTACTAACCCCCACACAGTCAAAAATCTACATATTACTTTTAACTGACCAAAAATGTAACTGCTAATAGCCTCCTGTTGACTGGAAGCTTTACCAATGAGAACAGTGGATAAACATATTTTGTATGTCATATGTATTTATACTATATTCTTAAAGTAAAAAGGAAGCCTGAAGAAGAAACCTAGACTTGGCTACATTTTAGAAGAAAATCAAGCCTTGTGAGTCTTATTCTCTGGCTTTGATCTGGTTGTCAGTTGGAATGGACTTGCCCAAGTGATGGCCCACAGAAAGGCCAAACTTCTTAGCTTTCTGCTCTTCCTGGACCTCCTTTTTCATTAAGAATCCTGCCTGAAAGTTTAGGTCAAAGAAACTACTTGGAGCAAAATATAGTGGAGTCTCATCCCAGATATTCTCCAGGCGTTTCTTCCATCCTTCCAGGACCTGAAGTCGGGCATCCGCGGGAATGTGCCCAATGCTGTATGTCAGTTGAGGTTCTAAGACCTGGAAGCCACAGAAATGCAGAGTGCCACTCTGGGGATACACAAAGCACAAAGGTGAGTCACTACAAACCCCAAACAGTTTGTACCAGATACAAACCACAAAGGTTTATCTGAGCTTTCCAATAAGACACTGACGTGGAGGCGGAGGCACCCTGCAGAAGCAGTTCAGAACTGTATTCTCTCACCTTCTGCTCCCAGACCTAGCTGCCTGTTACCTATTTTAGCCTATTCAGCTGTGCTTTTCTTCATATAAATAAAACCTTGAACCTGTGCCAGCCTAGGATCCTCTGCCAGAAGTGTCGGAAGTTCTGTTCCATAAGGGAGAGTTGCAGCTGATTGGCAGCCGCTCTCTTGCCTGCTGCTCCCTGCCTCTCCATAGAACTAGATGAATCTTAACAAACGGTGCGTATCATCCATTCTCCAATAGTAATATTAATTCTCCAATATTATAGGTGGCCACCTCATTTGCTCTTCTCTCCACCCCTCTTCCTTAGAAGTGATTATCCTGAGAGCCTAGTGACCACCAAAAAGCATACTTCAGACTTCAGTTTTATTTACTGAACTAAAGCATTTCTTAAATTGGGGTGGAGGGCACTCTAATAGTCTGTGAGACTATTCCTGGAGAAGGATAGTAAGATTGGAGAGATGTCAGTCACCTGGAGAGAATCAGACCATGTGGCTGCACTAGTACTCGGTTAGGAGAGTGGTGTGTGGACAAGTGCATACAGGTTATTCTGTAAGCACAGGGGCCTGGGAAGAGAGGTAAATCTTAAAGCTCCCTGTAGTTGTGAATCATTACTATGCTTTCACCTCAGGTCTGTTTTCAGTTGTTATCTTGAGGATCTGGACCCCATAGAAAGCTCAATTAGGTAATCCCCCTGAAGGTTCACTGAAAATGAGGTACCTGAATTGGCCAGAGAATGATGTTCATGTCCCCGTGGACTCCCTGCAGAGAGTACATGGAGTCGCTACCACCAGTGGTGATGGACAGCACTGCCTTCTTGTTCTGTAAAAGAAAAGTCATCACCCTGAGCATCTCCTTGGTGACAGGAAGCTAATGAAACAGCCCCAGGGAGAACACCATCCTCCACCCATCTGCTGTTGATGGTACTCCTCTGAGCCACTCAGTATGACTCTGCAGAAGTACCTGCCTGGAAGGCGGTACCGACAGACAGAAGACATGTGAGCAGGGGCAAGCCATACTCCTGGGTGTGGCAAATCCGGGGAGACTGTCATGTAAATGCAAAACCAGTGTTGACTGCTGGTGCCTAGGAGTTATTTGTTTACTGTTTTATTCTGTCTCCCTACAGTGCTGGGCATAGATCTAGGCATGTCATCTAGAAGGTCAAATGTTTCTTGTATAGTAGTTGGGTCTCTGAAAAATGAAGACACACTATTTATTTTTATTATGGAATGTTTCAAACATAAAGAAAATAGTACAATTGACCCTTGAACATTGTAGGGGTTAGGGGTACTAACCCCCACACAGTCAAAAATCTACATATTACTTTTAACTGACCAAAAATGTAACTGCTAATAGCCTCCTGTTGACTGGAAGCTTTACCAATGAGAACAGTGGATAAACATATTTTGTATGTCATATGTATTTATACTATATTCTTAAAGTAAGCTAGAGAAAAGAAAATGTTATTAAGAAAACATAAGGAAGAGAAAATACATTTACAGTACTTATTGGGGAAAAAATCTGCATATAAGTGGACCTGTGCAGTTCAAACCTGTGTTGTTCAAGGGTCAACTGTATAATTATGCATCTACCACCCAGCTTCAACCCTTGGCAGATTGCCATTCTAGTTTTATCTAATCCCCTTACCTCTCTTTTCCCTGGGGTATTTTAAAACAAATCCTAAACATCATGTCAAAATGTCTGTTAAAACTTAATTATGGCCGAAACCGGTTTGGCTCAGTGGATAGAGCGTCGGCCTGCGGACTGAAAGGTCCCGGGTTCGATTCCGGTCAAGGGCATGTACCTGGGTTGCGGGCACATCCCCAGTAGGAGATGTGCAGGAGGCAGCTGATCGATGTTTCTCTCTCATCGATGTTTCTAGCTCTCTATCTCTCTCCCTTCCTCTCTGTAATAAATCAATAAAATATATTTAAAAACAAAACAAAACAAAACTTAATTATGCATCTCTTCCAAAGGGACCTGGAGCCGGACCATAGTATCTAATTGTGCTCAAAACTGCCTCAGGCCAAATCTCCCCAGCACCCAGCTGTTAGAAAAAGCAAAACCATCCACCTACCCGGAAAGGTCCCTTGTCATACATGGCAGCGTACGTGTAAGCAAACTCCCCGATGAGCACTCGCTCAAACCAGCCTTTCAGGATGGCAGGGACTCCAAACCACTGCAGTGGGAACTGTGGAGGAAACGACAAAGAAGTCAGGTCGGGGCCGGCCCCAGCACAGAAGAAGGCTCAGGGTCCTCACTGAGGGCAAACCTTTCTTCAGGCCCCATATCATTCCTTCTGGAGGAGACAGTGCATTTAGAGACAAGAATCATCTCTCGTCAGTCAACCTGATACTCCTGTTTCTACCTAAAGGTACAAATGTTCGGTAGGTCTGAAGAAGGCCACATGCAAATGTTTGTTTCTATGAAATCATGTTTGGCAATGCAGTTTAGACAGCAAGGACTGCAGACCAATGTGTGATACCTAAATCAGTATTTTCTCAAGTGCTTGTCTTAAAGGTTTGGTATCAAAAATATGAAGCAGCCCTAGCTGGTTTGGCTCAGTGGATAGAGCGTCGGCCTGTGGACTAAAGGGTCCCAGGTTCGATTCCAGCCAAGGACACATGCCTGGGTTGCAGGCT